TCAAGTGCTCAAGATTTCATACTTCAAAGCTCAAACACTTGGGGACTATATAATATACATATGATATATGTATGAAAAAGGCGAGGAAGGCTGAAAATAACTAAGAGTTCAAGTCAAAGACCAAAAGTCTAAATACCAAGTTCAGAGCAAAGTCACGAGCCAATAACACAAGCCAACCAAAGAAAAACCTTCATATAGATTCTAAAATCTTACGATGTTTAGGTTTAAGGCAATATTTAACCACGGGTCATAAGGAAACCCTTGGATTTTCTTTTTTGCAAATCTGTTGTAAAGAAAACAGTTACGGAAAAGTAATAGAAGATATATAAATACATGTAAGATGTTATTTAAACTTGACAAAGTTCAAATGAAAACTTTATCAAAGTTATTTCAAGAAACATGTGTGTTCCTATTTCTTTTTTCGTATATTTACACCATTATGAAGTTGAGACGTCTTCTTCATTAAGTGTCGAATATAAAAGGGCCCTCTTTTATAAATTCATGTTCGATTCATAAATCCATGAAGTTAATAAAGCGTTTTCTTTTGGAAAAATGCAAAAAAGGGTAAGACAGAAACCCACGAATTAAAAAGGCAAGACCTTGGATTTATACAAAAACAAGGCAAAAAGAGTAAAACAGAAGCTCAAAATAATTAAGTTGAAACGAAAACTTTATAATATTAAGTTTAAAACTAAGTATGAACTTAGTCTTAAACTAATTGTCACTTTTTACAAAATGCCCCGAAAAGACCTGGGGACTTGTCATTTCCAAAAACATAACCCCCAAATGGGACCAGGGGTAAAACCACCAAGGAAAAAAAAAGAAGAGTTAAACTTCATAAACTTTCACTGTGGAGCGGAAGAAGAGTCTAAAGCAGCATCATCAGCAACAGAAGGCTCGATTTGATTTGAAGGAGCTGGGAGATCCACCGTAGCTATATTAGCTTCGATATGCTCAGGAGTATCAGCCATGGGTGAAGGAAAACTTTGATCTTGCTGAGTTTTCTCAATTGTTTCCTTTATCTTAGCCAATTCAGCATTCAAGTTAAAATCCTCTTGGCTAACCTCCACAAGGGTATCATGGCGTGTGTTTAAAACAGCCCAACTCACTTCAATAGCAGTTTTGTCCTCAAGAGCCTCGTAATCTTTTTACCATTGGTCAATCTCATTCTTGAGCTCTTCCTTCTCAACCAAAGCAGCATCATAAGAAGACCGCAAAGGTGCAAGTGAACTTTCCAAAAATCTGACCTTATCAGAGGACACACGAAGGTCTTCTTGGGTCTGGGTAAGTGTCTGAACAAGTTCACCTGCATAAACTTCTTTTTTGTTCAGCAAGGCCTTCAAACCTCTAATCTCTTCACTGTTTGCTCGGAAAATGACGCCTCAAGGAAACTTTTGTCCTTGTCAGCCTAATTGGAAGAAGCTTTTTCAACTGCTAACTCCGAAATCAAGACCTTCAACTGTTGCTCTAAGGTACGCTTGCTCTCTTCTAGCACTTCCATCTCCAGCTGAAGACTTTCATACTGTTCTTTCCAATTGTCTGCTTCAACTTGATAGTCATGAATTAACTGCTCCGTATGAGAAATCCTCTTCATCATCTCTGTACCAATGAGATTGATCTAAAAAAGAAGAAAAGGATAAGAACCTTAGTGAAAGGAGAAGTGAATAAAGAGTAAAAAAAAAAAGCAGCAAATACCTTCAGTGATGATTGCACTATATCATTCATCCAAGTCAAAGAACTATGACTTTCTAGCTTGGACTTTTCTACTGGACCAATCAGGGGTTTTAACCATACGTCAGCCCGACCTAATTTTTTTAAAAGATTACCATCGGCAGGGACCTCAATGGTAATCTGCTTCATCCCTCCACTTCCACTTGAAGAACCAACCTCAGTACGAGGAATGGTGATAGTGGGGAATGAAGAAGAAGTCATAACAGCTTGGGGTAGAGCAGAAACAGTAGCAGTAACAACTGGCAAAGAACACACCACAGGGAAAGACATGGTAAAAGAGGCAAGAGGCACTTCATCAGAAACAAAACCCAAATTCTCACTATCAAACCCACGAGAAAAAGCTGTTCATCAGAGTCACGAGCTGCCGCAGGAGTATCATCATCAGAACTCACCAATGTAGCACTAACAGGCTCGGCCACGAGAATAGAACGGGGAGGAGTCACTACATCATCTAGCAAGACGCGTCTTCTGACCCGTGGCCTTTTAACCAATGAACTTCCATCCTGATCCTCTTCCTCTTCAGAATCTTGAGTCGCATCAGCTTTCCTTTTCGATGAAGAACTCAAGATTATCTCTTGAGCTCTTTCCAAAGAAACTCTGGAAGCCGCGATTGCATCAGCACTTACCCCACGTATGGCGAACCCTGATAAAAAGAAGAGTCAAAATAAATTCTAAAGGAAAGATAAAAAAAGAAAAGAAAGAGAGTAAAGTATTTACCATGAGTTTTGACCTTCCAACCAAACTTGTGTGAAAGGTTTTTCCAAGATCTGCCTTCCATAGGCGCAACAGTCAATAACTTTTCTACCCAGCCACGGAAATTGAGAATCTCGTCAACAGTTCCCATGGTTGCTGAAAAAGGAGAAAGTTAAACAGCAGCGGGGATCAGAAGGAAAAAAAGGAAGAAAGTTGCGAGATTAAAACTCACGTGCAAAATTCCACTTTTCGGGGAATGGTACATTTTCTTCACCTACTAAACATACAGTAGGAGCAGAAACAAATCTGGAATACCAGCCACGATCCTTATCATCTTCTGGGCTAACTAGTACTCTCTTACTCCTCGCCACTAAAGTAAAGATCCCATGGCGGAAAAGTTTAGGGGAGTAGAGGTGGATCAGATGAAAGAAAGTGAAAGACAAATTAGCCAACCTTGCTTAGTGCCTTAGACAAGCAACAGCCCTCCACAGAATGGGGCCAACTTGTCCCAGACAGACGTTGAAAAAACGGCAGAACTCAATCATAACAGGATCAATGGGGGGTTTGAAATTCAGTGTAAAGGGATATGTATACACAAAAGAAAATCCGGTCATGTAAGATATAATTCTTTGGTTTGCATTAGGAATTATAATAGGGAAGTCAAGGCTCTAATGGCAATCCTTACGGACAACAGAGATTAAACCTTCAGTAATTTGAGAAGGGTAAACGTCAGCACGATCCAAAGAAGACATAGAAGAAACTTGATTCCTAATTGACTCTCTATAAGAGTAAAAAGATAGTTCAGAAGGGATAATTTCATCAACTAAAGGTTCACGAACTGGTTCACTAGAGTCTTTATTTCTAGAAGAAGATCTATGTGAAAGAGAACCCCTAGTTCTAAAAGGAGGGGTGGAACTCGATGGAGGTGAAGAAACACCTCGTGTAGATGAAGACCCTAAACTACGCAATCTTCCCCCTCTTCTGCTTCTAACAGGAGCAAGGGAAAGTTCATCAACAATGGGGACTCTTCGAGGATTAGGGTTTGAAGAAGACATGGCTGTATGAGGAAGAAAACAAGAATGAATATTTTAAGATAGGTAACTTTTAATGAGAAAGACAAGAACGAAAGCTATATTTATATTCAGAAGCAACCGTCAAGGAAAAGGTGTAATGATGAAAACGCCATGATGGAAACTGTCACTTTGTAATTGATGAAGCCGCAATAAAGCCCTAAAAGACGCTGAAGAATTGCAGATCCGATTAGAAGATGCCACGTGTCACGAGCATTAAATGGAAGTGACATATGAAACGTCAGTTATGGAAAAAGTATAATGGTGGCAAAAATTCCCGCTTTAATGAAGATCCACTTCCCAAATATTCTATTGTTGAATAAATGGCAAGTGGGGGGACTATCTGTATTGGAAAAATTCAAGTTAGTATATTGAATTTATTATGTGATGATATGTCATGACACGTGGATCAGTAAAAGAATGACATCTGGCAGAAAATAGTTAAAGAGGTACGAGCTTTAACAGACACGAGCAGAAGGTCCAAGAAAAACAGAAAGGATAGGTGCTCGAACCACTTGATAATTCGGAAAAGCGTCGGAGGAATGAACCTAGATAGCAAAAAAGGATAGATACGTATTATTGGTAGTTAATGAGCATTAACTACGGGAAACGTTATAGAATATGTACTGAACAGTTACGATTGTCAATTATAATGTTGCATTAAATGTCATTAATTGCCCATAATAACTCCATTATGGGAGGAAAAAAATATATTATTTAGAAATAGCTATAAAAGGAGAGGAATAAACAATTGTAAGGACAGGAAACACTATTGGATTACACTGAATTACTTTGCTTTCTATCTTGCAACTATTCATATCAGTTATTCTTATTTTTATTTGATTATCAGTAACCCAAGTTCTTCTAATAGCAAGCTTTGACCGAAATTCTTATTTTTTGATTAAACATTACCGTTACTCCAATGGTGTGTGTATTAATTGTCATAATATTGTCAAAAGCAATGCCTCCCATATTCATAGAAACAATAAAACTTATATTATTTATCATGTGTTTAAAATCTACTGGCCTAACTAATTTTTCTTTTTCTTTGGGCTTCAAGCATTCGATGTGCAACAGGAGTATAAGAGCTTACCGAAGAGGATTCTATTTTCAGAATCTGAGACCTGGGGGAACATTTGTATAATAGGAACAGAAAGAAGCACATGTTCTAATTTTATATGCAGTTGCCAAGGAAAGGAAAACTAACTGAGAATTTACAACAATTATTTATTGACAACGGAGGTACAAATGAAACAAAAATTTTCTAATAATAAGGATAATAATTGTGCTTTGACAATAGCACCACCTCATTCTTTAAGGGTGAAACAAAGCATTTATTCATCATCAGTGATGAAATTACATAATAGATCAGATTTCAACAAATGAAGTTTCGGATACCAAAAAAATGCTAGCTCCATTCACCATATAAAAAAAGAAATGGTTACAATAATAAAATTAGAAAATCAATTTTCACCTTCCCAACTTTATTTCCTCCTCAAAATGATTTTAAATAATATCAGGCCTGGTTCTTTCAACAGCCAAACAAGTGCTAAGCAATTTCTTACTACCTTCATAAAAGGTTGAAAATTCAGCTGGCATTTGTGTTTTGCTAAATTCGTCTGCGCAATCTTCCAATCTTGTATAGGCTGAAGATAACTTGATATTAGCAACCTTAGTCTTGTCACCAGTTTTTAATGCCTCTTCAACCTCTTTGAGTAAATCAAGAACATCTTCATACGACTTTCTGCATGCTAATCCAATGTTGTCTTTAAATTTTGCATCCAATGTAGAAGGCAATGTTGTTAATAAGTTAGCCATAATTGGCTCTGCCATTTTGGCTTGCATTATTGTCTCTGATAATACTTCAGTGATTGCTTCTTGCCACGTGTCAGCTGGCTTTACAACCTCTGAACAAAATGCCTTGTCTAAGGCTTTTACACAAAAGGGGTTGATATTTACACCAGGTTGTGCATTTGCAATGGATGCAAATACAAGGGAAGTTAAGGCCAGAGAGACCAATGAGAAAGCAACTCCATTTCTAACAGCCATTTTTTTTAATTTTTTCTTGAGATACTTGGTTATATTTTATTGTGTTTTTGTTGTCACTTTTCTCTCTTGGATATGGTCTTCTCTGGGCTAATTTGAATGATAGAGAATGGTAAAAGTATATATGAGTCTGTTCTGAACGGAAATTGAGTGGAAGTTTGAAGCCTACGGCCTGCATTATGTTCAATTTCCGGAATGAAAGCATTTCTATTAATTAGGACTAACAGCTTAAATTTGTTAAGCCCACTTCAATAGCCACAATGTACGTTTGACCACTTCTTTCCATAAAAGACGGTTCATGTTTTGGATTTATTGTCTTACATTTAATTTTTTATACACTGAGGAATAGTTTATAATTGCGTTTGGATTTAGTACTTTCCACAGACTAACAACATTACCAATATTTTACTTTGAATAAACTACCAATCAAATATAGAGGTGTCAAAATTGGCCAGAAAAACATGACCCGTCCAATTTTTTTTTTTTTTATCTCAAATCATACTGATTTTTAGTCCAAATTGATCCATGAGTAATTTTGCCAAAATATATTTAAAATATTATTTTTTTCGTTTCATATGTTATATATGACCATAATAAAAGAAAAAAATCTTATATAATAATTAAACAATTCATAAAAAATAAAGACATATTAATTAAAGTATAGTAAGAGGTGGATGAGTTGGGCTATGACCCAAATTTTAGTCCATCAACGACCCGCTCATATATTGACACAGTCCATTTTCGCTCACCCAAAATTGGTCCAACCACCAATTGACACCCCTATTCAAATATATAATATCGATTTCACTAACGCTATGTAAACGTTATAACAACATTGCAAACACATTTTATGTTAGTATTAACTATTAAGTCTGTCACATTAAACAACAAATGAAAGTAACAAAAGGCCGAAAACAATTTGAGATTTTTTTCATTCCTATACACTATTTAAAACCTTATTATGAAAAATGTTCATGTTTTGGTATTTACCCGACCTAAACACATTTTAGTTATAAAATATATATACAATCCACCTGAAAAGGCTCCCAAATCTATTATTTGTGCCTTCAATCAAGGGATTTAGTTACCCCTTTTCCTTTTTTCTCCACCGCTGATTCGCTCGCCTTCACATCCTCAGAGGCCATAAAAGAACGAGATCCGCCTAGTTTTTTTAGCTTTCAACCTTCAACTTGTTGAAGAAGCTTCTTCACTTTCTTCTTGCACCCATTACAATGTATGTTCACTCGAAGAACACAGGTCTGCAAAAAGGGAATTAACGAAAGATGAACATTAAAAAAAAGGTGGAGAAGAGACAAGGGAAGCAAACATAGAACCAAAATAATAATTTACAGAAGAAAAATCACAAGCCAACTTTATGGTACACTAGTAGAACATGGTCTTGACATAGAGAAATATACCTGGATTTCTAGGAGCTAAAAATCTTCATCTTGTGTCATTTCTTTAGTGCAGTTTCAACAGAATGATCTGCTTCAACAAGTAGTAGCGAATATAAACACCGCTTAAATATTATATGTACAATGTGGAAAAGAGGTGTTGTTTCATGAAAAAGTTACTCCTCCGTTTCATTTTAAACGAGGTAATTTGACTAGGCATTTGAACAATATTTGGTTGAAGTTAATGAAAAAATAAAAGTATAAAAGTATAATATATACATAATAATTATATATATTATACAATTTATCTACAACTTTCATACATTATATCTACCGAGTTATATATAACTACAATATCATACAACTTAAATTAATTTTTATACAAATTTTATACGATATGTCTTTTGTATATTTTGTATCTGATTTATATATAGTAAAAACAAATTTCATACAACTAATTATATATTATACAACTTATCTACAACTTTCATACATTATTTTTTTTTTAAACAACATTTGTATTCATTCCATAAAAAAAAAATTACATTACAGTCCAGTAGATGCTGACCATCTACACACCTTCACCTACAAACTCTAGCCTAAGTATTCCTTCTTAAGCTACGTATCTGACAATCCAAATCACAACAATCTAGTTAAGGATATTACAAAACAGTACAATACTAGCATACCTAAGGGTAACAATTAATCTTCTCAAGAGCTCCTTTCCAATTCTATATCGAACCCCTTTCATGTGTATGTGGATTGCTATTTCTTTGCAAATGTTGCTGACGATCACTGTGCCTCCCTGGAATCTTAGCTTGTTCCTTTCTCTCCATACAAAATAGACCATCATACCAAAGACACAAGTGACTATCACACAATGCCCATTCCTCATTTTAGCACCTTTACATATCCAGTTGACCTCACTCTGCCAGTCACGAATAGGTCTATCATACCCCAGCCATCGTAACAACCTCATCCATAATTTATTTGTCAACGAGCATTCAAAAAAGAGGTGATCAAAGGTCTCATCGGTCTGCTTACAAAAAACACACTGTTGTGGAGCTTGTATTCCAAACTTCAGCAGCCTCTCCACCGTTGCCAATTGTCACGACCCGAATTTCCCACCCTCGAGAGTCGTGATGGCGCCTACTATTAGGAGCTAGGCAAGCCAACTATTTATTATCTCTTTTAGCAAACCTCGACATTAATAAAAATAACGAAGCATTTAATATAAAAGCGGAAGTCTTAAACATAAATAAATGGAGAACAATGCGGAAGTTCAATACAACTCTACCCAAGAACTGGAGTCACAGACTCACGAACATCTAGAGAATGCTAAATACAAAGTCTGAATAAAAACATAATTCTATTTGTTCCGGTACAAAGGATAACAAACTAAAGTAAAGATAGAAGAGACTCCGGTCCATGCGGACGTTAGCAAGGCTACCTGCTCCGGAGTACGTGTAGCAGGAGTCTGAACCCCTCCTCCAGCCTGAGAAGTGGCTGGTGCTACTAGAAGCAAACCCGCTCGAGAGACGCTCTCCATAAAGCCTACCAACCTGACCAAAGCGTCCTGAAGAACTGGGTGGCTATAAACCCCTCTGGGACCTGAGCTGGGCCCACCGGAGCTGCTGGGGCTAGAACCTCCTCATCATAATCAACATGAGGCTCCACCTCTGGGACTGCTGCTCGGGGCTGAGCTCTGCCCCTGCCTCGGCCTCTGGCACGGCCTCGGCCTCGCCCTCTGCCCCTCGTAGGAGCTGCTGATGGGGGCTCAGGCTGCTGCGTGGTAGAAGAGGAAGCATGTGTTCTCGCCATCTGCGAAAGAACAGAGTAGAAAGACAATCAGTATTTGAGAAACAGAATCGCACGACAAGAAAGAACAAAAGTGAAGTTTTCCTAACTCTGTAGCCTCTAGGGATAAATACAGACATCTCCGTACCGATCCCTCAGACTCTACCGAGTTTGTCCGTGAGTTGTGAGACCTATGTAACCTAGTGCTCTGATACCAACTTGTCACGACCCGGATTTTCCACCCTCGGGAGTCGTGATGGCGCCTACTATTAGGAGTTAGGCAAGCCAACTATTTATTATCTCTTTTAGCAAACCTCGACATTAATAAAAATAACGAAGCATTTAATATAAAAGCGGAAGTCTTAAACATAAATAAACGGAGAACAATGCGGAAGTTCAATACAACTCTACCCAAGAACTGGAGTCACAGACTTACGAACATCTAGAGATGCTATATACAAAGTCTGAATAAAAATATAGTTCTGTTTGTTCCGGTACAAAGGATAACAAACTAAAGTAAAGATAGAAGAGCAGAAAGAGATAAGACTCTTTCTGAGAAAGCATAAGGTTTGATCTTTATAGGTTGTTTAGAAACAAGAGCTAAGGAAAAGAAAGGCTAATAGGATGCGATGAATAAAGTGGCCAAGAGATTTGGAGATCTTTGCTGTAACTATAAGGAATCATACAAATGGGAAGGAATTTGGCTACTATGGAAACAAAATATTGAGGTTTCAGTGCTGGTGATAGATGACAGTTGTTATTCACTGTGAGTACAAGAAAGAAGCTCCAATTTTAAGACTCTGGTAACTGGTAGTGTATGCAAGCAATGAGATTAATAAAAGGGCAGCAGTGTGGGGTAAACTTATTGCAATTAAGGAGCAAACATTCAAAGTGTGTTGGGTTAACTTAGTGGAGACTTCAAAAATGTCCTCCAACACTGAGGACAGGATAGGGGCTCCAGTTACACCAAATGTGAAATTAAGGGCTTCAAGAGATGTATTCATTATTTGCAACTCACAAAGTGACTGAAGTTTGGGTTGGGTTTTATAACTAGTGGAACAAGCAGGCAGCCGCAAGAGGGTAATAGTAGAATTGATTGGGCATTGGGAAATATTGAAGGATGCAACAGTAAGTCATACTTGAAGCAGAAATTCGTAAATCCAAAAGGTATCAGATCATTCGCCCATACCTATTCATGCCAGGTCTATGGATAAATGAAGAGCGCTACTCTCTAAACTTTTAAACTATAGCAGTTCTTTGTTATGTGACATGTTGATTTCACAGGAAATAGTTAAAAAGGTATGGGATCAAGAGGTAAAAGGGGGTCCAATGCCACAAGATTTGAATAAGCTTAAATGGTTGAAATATGACCCTTTAAAGAACTGACACTTATATGGCTTCTTATAACATCAACTCAATAAGGCCAGGCAGATGGACTTGAAGTTTTCAGATGAAGCTTAAGAACCATTCACATGGATCAACGGTTGGTTGAATCAAAGGAAAATAGCTTAGTAGAGAGTAGAGAAAGTGGAGCACATTGAGGGAACGAACTATTACATCAGAAAATCCAGAGCTAATTGGATAAAGGCTGTGTGGAGATTTCAAATTCGAAAGTTATTTTCATGCACATGGAAGTTGAGGACAAGCGACAAAATGACTATAAATTCCATTTACAAATGATCTGGGGAACAAGGTGTGTGATCTATACTATTGGGAGAAAGAGTTTATTCAATTTCTTTATTAAGCTATTGGAGAGAGTATACCTATGTGTAGATGTCCAAACTCAGAGGTTATACGACAAGGGCCTTGCCT